CGAAAAAAAAAAAAAGCACCTTGTGCTATGAAAACGCCTGCTGCACTGCGGATGCTCAACAGTTAAGTTTCCATTCCTTTCCCTGCCAAACCAAGCCCTGGAGAGGGCAGTGACCTGGGAGGTCAGTGGGAATAACGTGAGCTGTGCATCCTCACAGACCTGGGAGTGAATCCCGGCTCACCACTCAGCGAGGCGACACTTGGCCAGGTTACTGGTCTCTCTGAGCCCCCACTTCCCCCTCTGTTAAATGGGTTACTGATCTCTGCCTTGCAGCATTGTTACAGGACGAAATGAGACACGTGAACGCAGGACCTGGTGCACAGTAGGTGCCCAATAAACTTATTGTTACCCTCCCCCAAGGGAACAGAAAGAATTGAAATTAGAGATCTCAGGTGGCAAGATTCCCTCCATTCCAGGTCCCTGCTGGGCCCTGCTAGGTGGGGCATCCTCTGGGAAGAAGTGGTCCTGGCCTCGGGTCTCAGCCCTGACTGGCTGCTGTGTGACCTCAGGCAAGTTCTTCTCTGAGTCTCCACAATCCCATCCATGAGATGAGCCAGTAATGTCGCCATGGTTATCCCCATGAGGCACTAACCCTCTGCCACCCCCTTCTTCTGCCCTCTAAGAGCTAGAAATCTCAGCCTATCCAGGTTGCATGGGGATAGTCACCTCCCAATTCAAAACTTTCCAAAAATCTGAATGGAAGAAGGGCCAGGTCCTCCCCAGTCCCTTCCCAGGATCCAACCAGAGAGGTGTAACGGATAGTGACCAGAAGTCTGGGTGAAAGTTCTGGCATTGTACCCTGACCAAGTGGGATCACTTCTTACCTCTCTGCTGGCAAAACGACCCTGGAGACAAGTATTAGCATTTCCATTTTATAGATGGGGAAACCAAGGCACAGAGATGGGAAGTCCCTTGCCCAGGGTCACACGGAAAGTAACCCAGGTCTGTCTGACCCCCAAGGCCAGCTCTTCTCACTGCATGTGCTGCCTTCATTCAAGATCCACTGTCCACACCCCTCCACCCTGGAAACACCCACAGAACACAGTGGGTCTGGAATTCTCTTTCTGGGAGCATGACTTCCCTGGCTGATGTCTGGGCACATGTGTGCGTACATAATGGCCTCAGACACCCACTCAGGCTTCTGTACACACTCCAGGCCTCCCAGACACTACCTCCACAACTCAGGGTCACACTCAACTCCCAGCCCCTTGCCATCTCAGCATACTAGACCCCAGGGTCCAAACTCATGTCTCCCCTTCACCGGCCTCCTCTGGGGACAGGCCACTGCCACCCAGTGCAGCCCTCCTGGCCAGCCCTCTCCTCACTCCCACAGACAGTCAGTCACCAAAGCCTGTCCAGTCTCTCCCCTTACTCCTCTCATCCCCATGGCAACCACCCACCTCAGCCTCCATCACCTTCCTCCTCAAACTCTGCCCAGCCTCCTCAGTGGTCTCCTTGCCTGTAAGGTCCCCCTTTGTCCTTGCACCCCCTAGAGCAACCAGAGCAATTTCCAGATTACAGCCCTCTGCAGCTCACACCCTTTCTCTGGACAAGGCCCTTGGAAATCTGACCTCAAAGCAGTTGTCAACCCCTCCCACTCACTCCCCCAGTGTGTGGGCCAACAGTTACTCACAGCCCCCTGAGAGGACTCTGCAGCTTCACTCCTCCACACCTTTGCACATGCTGTTGCCTCTGACTGGAATGTCCTCCCATTCACCCTTTCCACCACCTGCACCTGTCAGAGTTCTCATTCTCCTTGAAAGCCCCAGGCAGAGCCACTTCTTTGGTGCTGCCTCTCCTGATGCCCCCTCCGTCCCCCACTTTGGCTTGCATGGTGCCTCCCTGTCATGTACCTTGACAGACACCCTGAGACACAGCTGCACCCCACATGAGAGGCCGCTGTGCCTCTCTGCGTCTTCCACCCAACTCTGTAAGTGCCTCGGGCCACAGATGGGACCAGCTCATCTGAGGCCCCACTTTCCTACAAGGGGAGCCCCATGCCTGCCATTAGGGGGTCTGGAGTGGGCTGGAAGGCCAGCAGGGCAGGGAAGGAAGCTGGGGCTCTGCCCGCCTTTGGCCTGGCTCAGGCCCGGAGCAGGGGAGGCAGCAGGGAGGTGCTCGGGCTGACAGCCCTACTTGGTCTCTTCCCCCTGCCTCTTGCTAGCAGACACATTCACTTCCATTTTTTCTTTCCCCTTCCTCTGAGCCAAAAGAGCCAAAGAGCAGAAACACTCATTTTCACTGTGGTGGACCAAGTGAAACTGGAGAGAGACCCTGGTGAGTGTGTCTGAGTGTGTGAGTGTGTTTGTCGTCCTGTCTGAGCAGGTCTGGCTGGGCCATGTGGGGTCTGCCCGGTGTCTGTAGGAGTCTGGGTGTGTATGTCTGGGTGTGTGTGTGCACGCATACGCGCGTACATGCCTCATCTGTCATTGTTTCAGCATCTGAGGTGGTGTGTGTTTCAGTAGAGCATGTTCATGTATGTGATGGTGTGTGACCGCCAGTGGGAGGGAGTGTAGCTGTGTGTGACTGTGTGAGTATGTCTGTGCTGTGTCTTTATTATTGTTTCAGGGTGATTGTGTGTCCAAGGGTCTGTCGGTGTTCACCAGCCCAGCGGGAGGACCGTGGGGGCATCTACACCCTGACCAAGAAGACCTACTACCCACGGTGCCTCCACAGACCCCCACCTCTTCCCCTGGGCTCTAGAATAGGCTCGCTGAGGGCCCCCCATCTGCTCAGGGCAGTGAGGGTTAGTCCCCGGAAAGGGACCTCAGGCTGCCTGACCCTCCGGCCATCCCAGCCCCATAGCCCCCAGACCTTCCAAATGCCCAGGGCAGCCCCCAGGGAGCTGCCTTTGCTAAGGGCACTCCGAGGAGGGGATGGATACTTGCCACCAGAAAAGGGCTCAGGCCTTAGCAAGAGGCAGTGAAGGCAGACAGGAAGAGGACTTCTGGGTTGCCAGGGTGCCCTGAGGGAGGTCAGTGGCATTTCTGTGTCAGGAATCCAGCATGTTCTCTCACACACTGAGGGTCTCACACAAGCATACAAGGACTGGCCCACGTTAATAACATACTCGCAGACACTCACTGTCCCCCTCACACTCCACAAATGCACGCACTGACAGGCTCACACTGGTACACACATACAACAAATAAACTCAGTGGGTCTGCCCTTCCTGTTCGCAATTCCTGGGCTCCTCTAGCTGAATGGCATTTCTCACCCCTCTCCCCTCACCGCTCCCCCCCCCCCGGGGGAGGGGGGGAGCTCCTGGGGCTACTGGGCCTTCAGCCCCAGGACAGAGATGTTGGGGAGGCTGTTCTGGGGTTCTCAGAGCCCAGTGCCTTGGGGCCAGGTAACAGCCCCTGCAACTCTGCAAGTCTCAGTCCTGAGCTGGGCAAGGTGCTGAGCCTCTGGCAGGGACATTCCTCAGAACCTCAGTCTCCAGTTTAGGGGGTGCTGCTAGGACACCTAGAATAGGAGGGACTTGGGGGCAGAGGCAGAAAAACAGAAAAACTGAAAGACCGCCAGCCAACCAGCAATGGCAGAGAGACGAGGAGAGAGCGGAGGGTGAGAGCCGAGAGGGCTTCCCCGGCCTGGGGCTGGAGGGCTGGAGGGGGCTCTAAGGCCCCTCACTCCCTCCTCTCTCCTCCAACACCCTGCGAAGCAAGCTTTGTCATTCCCATTTTACAGGTGGGAAGGGAGTCTCCCAGAGGTGAAGGGGCACGCTCAGAGCCACATCCTCAGGGATTCCACCTGGGACTGTCTGATGCTAGAGCCCCTGCTTCTGGGCGAGGAAGGGAGGAGGGGGCTTTATCTGGGATTCTGCCTGGGCAGCTCTGGAGGAGGAAAATCGGGTGCAGGGAACGAGGTGGGCTCCCCCATCCCAGCGCCAACCCCCTGGTCCGAGTCGTCGTCCCTCCCCAACGCCCCGTCCCCATCCCGGCGTCGGAGGCGCCGGCCCAGCCGTCCGGGATAGTCTTAGGGGGAGCCTAGGCCAGTCCTGCCCTCGGAGCCCCCCAAGTCCGAGCAGCCGTGCTAGCCCCCCCGCCTTTACCTGCAGGGGCGGCCGCCGGGCGCCGCTCCCGGCCCTGGAGGGCGGCCCGGGGCGCGCGGGCTCGGG